TTCTTTGACGTGATAAATTTTTTTCAGATTCAAATTTTTAAATGTTTGCAGGCGACACATTTTGATTGGAGCGTAAAAAGATACTGTCGAAGATTGAATGCGTTCTTTAAAAAACTTTTGGAACTCTGTTTCTCCGATGGATTGTGCATTCAATAAATGTTCTTCTAACTCATCAGGTGCTTCTATTCCAGAACAAATATTAACCAAAGAATCTCTTTGCTTGAAAGGACTTCCCCAATTTTTCATTAGCATCAACGCTCTCTCTACACATCCATTGTTGAAATCTTTTCTTGATGGTTTTAGATCTTTTGGTGATTGTTTTCTAGTTGTGATTCCTAAGTTATTTTGCAAAATTGAGATGCATTTTGAAACGGTATGACTTGTTAGTATCCAGCGTTGGATGGTTCCTTCACACGTACTATAACCTTTTATTCCCCCGCGGCATTTCTGATCGCGATTGATTGTTTGTTCAATGCATTGATCAGATGGAATTTTGTTAAATGTACCGCTCGTTCTTCTTACTGAAAAGTTTCCATCCCTGTTTTTAAAAAGATATAACATTATAAAGCAGTTATTTAAATGCATTTTTACAAATTTTAAACTCCAAATAAAAAAGTATTTTTAATACAAGCTTACATAAATTGTTGATAAACACTAGGATGAGTTTTAGGAAGTTGAGTCATTTCGGTCCAATAAAAAGTTAAGTAGCGAGAATAATTTGGATGATCATATGCAAAAAACCACGGTATCATTTGGCGTGTTGCCTCCAAATGAAGATTCCAGTTACCAACCTTCGTTGAACGTAGCAAAGCAAAAAAAATATTTAACATTTCGATAAAGGAAAACCAAAATGCGGAAGTTGGTCCGGAAATTTTTATATCTTTTAACACGTTTGAGTGGTCATCTACAGCTTTGCAGAAGTCATCATCAAACAACAATTTTAAATTGTCATAATTTGTCTAGAAAAAATAAAAATATAGTCATGGTATCAAAACCAAATTTCTAAAAAATAATCCATCTTATGTTACGGCGCAAATACTTACCTCCTTTAAACAGTTAATGATTTCAGGTGAAGAAGCGAAGTGATTCAATGAAGAAAGATTGTTTTCAATTAACCAACTTTCAAAATGTTTTATCCTCAACTGTGTCAGTGCATTGTACAGGTATTTATAAATTCGGACGGCACGGTTATAATGCTTTCCTTTCAAAATACGGTCCACAGAACTTTTACCTTTATAAAACACATATATAAATATTAGATACTTTTCACTTACTTGGTAAAAAGCAACATTTAACTACGTAATGTAATGTATGAAAATTTTGAATAAGTAAAAAATAACTAACCACATAATTCAGCTTCAATTATCCAATCTTGCAATCCTGCATCACTAAACCTTTTACCAATAACAGTTAGAAATATACAAGATATATGAAATACACCCATTCGGAGGACAATAAACCTTTTAAGATCAATGTAGCTAGGATTCATCAGAATTTCTACCGCTTTGGCATATATAGCTTGATCCACTACAACGTCAGTTTCTGTAAGACCAAGATTTTCGGCTTTAGCTTTGGAATGGAGCAGAACTTCAAGCACAGTGTTTAAGTTGGTAGGCGATGAGTTAATAGCTGGGAGATAGCTAATAGTGTGTATATCTTCAGGTGTCTTTTTAGGTGTAATTAGATAATTAAACCCCGTCCAACTAGGGATATGATCAGAAAAATAATATAGTAATGTCCAAAAAAAATCCAACTTCTCTGACACTTCCAGTAACTTAGTGTCTCTTGATATTGCGTTTGAATGACGTAAGTGATCTGGTTCTTCGCGATTATGCTTGACATACAGCGGCAACTGATTTTCAATTGCTTTAAAAGATCTTTCTCTGTCTCTTGTAACCTTTTCATTTACACGATCCTTGTGTACTTGATCAACTTGGTTTTGTAACTGAATAACAATGCCATTAGTAACGTGCATAGAGGTTCCGTTTAATGTTTCGGGATTTATGTCATTGTTGTCCCAGACGAAGGTCACGAATCTTGAGGGCTGGAGAACAGAAGGGCAAAAACTTTTTAAATTTTGATTTTGTATTGCATTTTGTGCAAGAGTTGTCTCTAAATAGTTTACTTCATCATAGGAAATTCCATGTCCTAATTTATTTAACCATTTGATCAATTCCTTTGACCCAGTTTTTCGTTTGGTACTTAAGCCAAGTAACACGTGTTTAGAGCATCGATGATCGCCGTTTGTTATATTATAAATTACATCTTCACAAAGAGAAGTTATTTTTACAAGCCCTTTGTTGCTCACTCTAGCACAAAATAGAACTTTTGCAAAAAGTCGACGGAGAAGAGGAGGAATTTTAGTCTTGACTCGTAGCAATTCGTCCTCATTAGGAGGCCAATCAAAGTATGTTTTTTCCATAGATAAAACCTCATTGCGAATCTCTTGGGCAACTTGATCAATAAGTTGTTCGATTGGTTTTGGATTATTCTTTTTTTCTAAGCGTTCAATTTTCTTTAAAAGAACTTCAATGATTTTTCCCTTCTCAATGGTATTGTTGTATAAAAAAGAATAGCCGTATTTTGGTGACCACAACTGAACAGACCCTTTAAATTGTGCAACAACAGAATCCTGCAAAGTCCTGCTATCTGGAATTTTTTCTCTATCTGTGCAGTTTTCGCTATAAAATTCAATTAGTTTGCTTGTTTCTATAATTTCTAAATTGTTTAAAATGTGCTCTCTTACATAGTCAAAAAGCAAAGACATGATTGTATTTTCTGTAATAACAGAAGGATTTCTAAGGGGTCTCGTGTAGTTAACATAACAAGATCGATGATAGTGTAACTCTAAGGAGATAATACTTTGCCACTCTGCGCCCGATACGCTAGCCATGAGTCTTGGGATATCAGATTTACATAAGGCATTTTCTTTTAACGTTTTTGCAGCATTTTCTGTTACGCACTTTGTTAGCGCTTCATATCCATTCCTATCTTTATTTGTCTTCTTACGATAGCAAATGCAGCATTCTTTATCTGCAATAATTTTTCCTAAAACAATGGAGTTATTTTACCTTTAAAATAGGGTAATACATATAACAGTCAAAAAAGGAAAACTGAGGGTAGCTTGTTTTGATTTGTATTTCCCGCCCAAAGGTTTTTAATTTACCTGATCTATCTCTTTTTCGAGTTGAGGTTCTGCGCTCAGATGTGAATTTATCAACCACGCATACACTATCGTGGGCTGTTTCTGCTCTACCTTGTTTATGTTGTATATTGCTTATTGTTTTTATATGTACGTATTTGTCGTAACATCTTTGATGAAACATGAGAGTTGTTGGGCATGTATCAGTTAGAACACTTATAATTTTAAAGTCTTGTCGAATCTGACTATAATAAAAAATATATATAATACTATTTACAAATCCATGCTATTAGTGATTTTTTAATTGTTTTAAAAATTTTATAGAGATGAATTAAGTTGCGCATTTAATAAGTAACTTACCTAGCATTCTTCACTTTCGAAAGCGCATTTTCAGTAAACCCACGTAGCTTGTCAATACAATTAGTATCTTTTCCTTGATGAAGTATGCAAGCATTATTAATTATTTTTGTAGCAACTAAACTGAGACTTTTATTTTCACTTGACATTATTTACTTAGATAATTTTAAATAAATAAAAACAAATAAACACGTTTATTTATTAAACAGTTTTTAAAAAGTAAACATTTTTTAAGTAGACACGAAACGGGAGCGGTTGCTTTTTCAAATTGTACCATTAAAACTAATTTTTAGTCTTAAAACGTTAATTAAACAAAAATAATGAATAAAATTTTATTTCAAACAAGCTTTAGAAAATTTTAATGTTATTAATTAAATAAAACATTTTAAAAACTTTTTATTTTAAAAATTGTTACCCCCCTGCAAATAATTTGTAAAAACTGAAATAAATGCTTTGCGGTTTTGATTTTTAAACAACATGGCGGAAATTTTAAGATGAAATCGCTTCGCTTAGCTTCTACTATTTTTGTCAATAAATAAAGTTATAAGCAGTTTCCAAGTGGCCCGTAAAGATTTTTTAACTTCTTAAAACATATAGAAAACATCTGTACAAAAATTAGAATGTTCACACAAAATGTTTAGTTTTCTTTTTTTTTTTACATGTAGCGCCCTGACTATAATGATATTATCCAGCAAAGTTGCTGAATTTTTTGTTATTCTTGTTGGGCGATTTATTAAAGGGATTGCTCCAGATTCAAAAATTGTATCATAAAAATTTTTAACTTTGTTATCGTCATTGTAGACAAAACAATTCATATTAAAATCACCAACAAGAAAGTTTTTTTTTTTTTCGTTGTTACCTTTTGCAATAACATTTTGCTGTAAAAACATGCTCAAGTTCTCGCTCACGCCATCTGGCGGTCGATAACAACAGCTAACTAAAATATTTTTTGTTCGTTCATTAATAATCTCAATTGTTAATATTTCTCCATCGCCGTCAGAAACACTAAGATCATTTCTACAACAATGCTTTATATCTTTATGAATGTAAATTAGAACTCCACCACCGCGCTTATTTATTTGTCTTTCGAGAGAGATCATTTCAAAATGAGAAAGATAAAAATTAAAATTTTTTTTTATGTCGTTTGAGGTTGCCCAAGTTTCAGTTAAGCAAATAATATTAAAAAAGTACTTAGTTTCCTCGAGTAAATTTTGGAATTTTTCAAAATTACAATTAATGCTTCTGATATTTACATGCAGAATTCTAATTTGATCATTGTTAACATTCTTAAATAGAATTCCTTTTAATTCATTTGGATAGTAGTAAGAACATTCTATTTTTGTATCATGGAAATAATTAATATCTGGGTCGGAGTTTTCGTGTAGTGAAAAAAATTTTGTTTCAAAAAAATTGAAGACAAGAGTTTCAAAGTCACTTATTAAAGCCATGATTAATTATCACAAATAAATTAAAAAGGAGTTCTTATTAAGAATGAGCGCATTTACTTTCGAAATTCTCTAGAAACAATTTTATCATACTTTATAACTGCATACTTAGCTTCAAGTCGCAACTTTTTGACCTCTTCCCACAACATCCTTCGGCTTTCCATCGTTTCTTTAGCGAAATCCTCATTAACATATATCCCAGTTCCTCGCAAGTTTTTTGTAGCGTTAAGTATTTTTGTTTTGTCTTGAAAATTTAATAACTTTAGGACAATCGTTCTTGGTTTCTTATCTTCTTTAGGTTGGCCTATTCTATGAGCTCTTTCTATGATAATTTCATTACTAATTTTTAGTTGTTTTTTAAACATTTCCTTTACTGCATTTTCGCACTCATTCCAATTTTCATTTGGCTTTTCAAATATTCCATCTAATCTTAGGTTGTTTCTTCGAGATCGATTCTCCAAATCTAGTGTCTTCTTATTTAAGTTGTTTATCTCCTTTTCGTAACGCTTCGTGATCTTATTTATTTTTTCCATAATAGTTGTTTCTTGGAAGTTAAGACTTTCTTTAAAATCGCGAAGGTCGTTTTCTATGCTTAAGACTTTGGATTTGTTTACATCTACTTCTTTTTCAATTTTGTCTAACCGATTAGTGAGTATTTTTAAATTAGCACTAATTATATCAGTAAAGTTTTTCTCTTGATCTTTTAACAGGCGTTCTGTTTCTTTTAAAATACTCTTTTTTTGTTCTTCGAGTTTGTTTGTAATTAACTTCTCGATATTTTTTAATGTAATTTCCATTATTTTTAAAATTAACTTTAAAACTTATAAATACAAATATATAATGTATTATTGTTAAGGTTCTTTATTCGTTTTTCTTTTATGATTGTTTCGATAACCACGGATTAAAAAAAAGTTGATTGAATACTCAATTAGGCAGCCATCTTTCAATACCTTTTAGATAAGGTATCTTTCAATACCTTTTAGATAAGGTATACGAAGCAGCGGATTTGTTAAGCTCAAAAATCTCCAAATTACAGCCTAAGAATCACTATCCTCCCTTGACTCTCCTAATAACGAAAATAAAATACAAGGGTAAAGAAGTACATAACCTGGAAACAAACTACAGTGTTAATTGTTACTACACTAATGCAACATCTCTTGATAACAAAATGAACGATTTAATTGCAATAGCTAGAACGTTTGACTATCGTGTTATTGCTGTCTCCGAAACATGGTTTTGAAATAACTCAGTTCCTAATATCGATGGGTATAATTTATACCGCAAAGATCGCTGTTGCGGACGTTGAGGTGGCGGTGTAGCTATCTACATTACTGATTTATTTAACTCTCACGAAGTTAATTAGTTCTATACAAATTCACTTGAACAAGTTTGGGTATCAGTACAAGTTAATAATAAACGCATACTTATTGGGTGTATATATAGACCAAATGATACTAATCTAATACACGTCGCTGAATCTTTTAAATTAGCTGATAGCTTAATTAGGAACCCCTTTGATGACTGTTTGATTGTTGGTAATTTTAATTTCCCGAATATGAAGTCGTCTAATAATGGTATTAAATCTTTCAATCCAAACAATTCTAACGATTCTAATTGCAACATTTACCAAAACAGCCTCTTTACACAACACATCACGTTCCCTACTTTCCAGACATCTTATGGTTCCCCCAAAAATATGTTGGATTTATTATTTACCTACAACAATAATTCTAATTTAAATTTGTCTTCTAATGTTATACTAGGTAATAACACTAAGGATCACTTTAGTAGTACCTGGAGAATCTTAGTTTCAGAACCGCTATCTGAAAACGAATCTCAATTATTTAGTTACAACAAAGCTGATTATAATTCAATATCAAACTTTATTGCATCAATTGATTGGGATATTATATTTTTACACAAAAATGCGGATCAAATGTTCAATATATTAATTTCTTATTATCATACTGCTTGCGAATCTTTTATCCCCAAGATTAAAAAAACAAAAAAAAAGTATGATCTTTGGGTTACTCTACATGTTAAAAAAATCGGCTTGGTACATCTTGGTACAAAGTACTTGGCTTGGTACATCTTGGTACATCAACTGCTCAACTAAATGGAAGAATAAAAATTTCAAAACAAATTACAATCGTCTTAATTGTTCCGTTAGAGCAGAAATATTTAAAGCAAAAATATTACATGAAAAAGAAATAATATCAAAATCTCAGAACAGCCCAAAACTCGTCTACAAATACATTAACAACCAACTAAAAATTTAAAGATAAAACTCGTTCTCTCAAAAATGCTTCAGGTGAAATTACTGAAACTCTTCCCTATATACTTGAACTTCTGAACTCTCAATTCAAATCTATGTTTACTCTTGAAAGCCCCGAAAATTTTCCATTATTAAATAAAAGTGAAGTTAAACCTAAATGCAATTATAATAACAACTTGGATTTTCCATTGCAGACATTATTAATAAACTTACCAATCTAAACCCTTACAAATCTCTTGGACCTGACGGGTTGCACCCTTTAATACTTAAGATATGTGTCAAAAGCTTCGCAATTTCGCTTATAAAAATCTTCTATGAATCTTTTAATTCTGAAATAGTACCAGTTCTCTGGAAATTAGCAAATGTTAGTTCGATCTATAAAAAAAAGGAGACAAACTATTTCCTAAAAACTATCGCCCTATTTCACTAACCTCGTGAAACCTTACCTGGGTTGATGTTCTTAGTGGTGTTCCTCAAGATTCTGTTCTCGGTCCGCTCCTCTTTATTCTTTTTACAAACAATCTTGCCCAACTTACAGTAACTTCTAAAGTATTTGAAGACGATACTAAACTTTTTTCTAAATCTTTATCGCAGACTAATTTTGTTGATCTGCAGGACCGTCTAGGCTTTGTATACGAGTGGTCAAACACTTGGTTACTTAAATTAAACATTTCAAAATGCTGTGTTATCCATTTGTTATTATGGTAAAACCAATCCTATGTATACCTACTTTTTTCAAAATAACCAAGGTAGAAATGAAAGCCTAAGAAGCTCTATTAAAGAGCGCAATTTAGTAGTCATTTTTAATGGTCTAACATGAATGGTCACACACTCTGGAATGGTCACACACTCGTGTGTTTTTAAATAAAGAGCGCAATTTAGTAGTCATTTTTACACCTAACCTCAAGTAGAGCACACATATTCAATCAGTTGTCTCCAAATCTTTACAAATTCTTGGTATGCTAAAAAGGACATTCACCATCGTTGATGAAAAAATGGCTCTTAAATTATATAAAGTGTTTATAAGACAACAACTTGAGTATGCAGTGTCGGTTTGGGCCCCGTATTTAAAAACTGGCGTAGCTTTGGTTGAATCTGTTCAACGTAAAGCAACAAAATGGGTTTTAAACTTGAGAAATCTTCAATACTATGTAAGACTTAAAAGACTAAATCTACCACCACTCGAGTTTCGGCGCCTACGATGCGATCTAATAGAAATTTTTAAACTAATACATTGATTTAATATAATTAATAATATATATCAACCAAAATTCATTAACTCATTGTCACGTGGTCACCATCTTAAAATAAGAAGTGAATATGTTCCAAACTGTCTTCCAAGACAGTTTTGGATTGTCTTCCAAGACAGTTTTGGAACCAATTATACAATAGATCAGCAAAATACTGGAATGAACTATCCGAGCAAGTAATTTCATACTCAACTTTACTTTCTTTTAAAATTAGATTAGATCAATGGTTGAGGATAAAAGTTGGAACGAATATGTAAAAAATTAGATGTTTATAGTAGGGTGTTTTCCCTGCTCGCTGTATGTATATATGATGTGTATATTTTAAGGCTAAAACTATATTAATAATAATATGATAATAATAATAATAATAATAACAATAATAATAATAATAATAATAATAATAATAATAATAAGTATCTATATATATATATATATATACGATTCTACAATACTGCCCTAATAAGTCAAAAAGACTTCCACATTTCATAATAGTTGAATATTAAGCTGTCATAAAATATTAAGTTTTCATAAAATCTGTAATGATTTTTAATTTCTTCAAAGATTTAACATTTCTATTTATTAAAAAGTTATGTCTAATTGTATTACTAATAACTTTTCTCTTTGAATTAATTTGGCGTTCTTAATTGAATATACGGCTGATAAAGATTTTGGTGTCGTCTGCATAGATTTTTACAGTGTTTTTGATTTTTTCTGGTAAGTCATTTGTATGCTACAATAAAAAATGGCCCTAGGATGGATCTATGCAAAACTCCAAATAATACTTTTCTTAATGTTGACATCGCTTTACCCTAAACAACTCTTTTGTATTCGATTATTAAGAAATACATCAATCCAGTTAAAAAATTCTTCCTTTTATTCCATATGCATTGAATTTTAATATAAGTTGCTTGTGTGATAAAGAAAAATCAATTATAAATATATCAAAAATAATAAAAAATAGTACTAAAAATGAAATTTTTTGAAACGCAAAAGGCAAATTGAAACAATAATGTAATAAAAAATTGCTCAAAAATGCTTTCAAGCAACAGAGCTAGTAGCTAGTTCATTTCCCAAAAGTTTTATTATTAACAATTCGAGGAAATTTGAGATATACTTGTTGAATATTTATTTTTTATTTGTTTATTTTAGGTGCCCCAAGAAATCCTTATGGTCTTATAACAGAGCACCGCGGAAGTGCATTTGAAAGGAAGTTCAGGCCTCCTTCTTTACCGGTGTTATAAAACTTTCCCATAGGTGGCATTGAAACACGGATCTCTAGCTTCTGAGGCAAGCGCACTCACAACTGCGCTACGGCTGCTGATATTTGATTTTTGGAAATTTTTGGCATGTTTAACTATTTTGTCTGAATCTAATAACATTATATTTTTGGAATTTAAAAATGAAAAATAGCTGTTTACTGTTTGATGACGGTAAACGATGTTAAACAAAAATCCGCCTGATTTGTAAACTTTGCTTTTGCAAAATGGTAATATACACAAAGCTCGTTAAATTGTTTTTTTTGTTCTTTTTATTCTTTTTTAAAAAAACGTTAAAATTTTATTTCATTTTATAACAAGAAAATTTGCTTACAATAGATTATTATCAAAACTATTACACATTGACTTCAATTCCTTTATTTAAAGGTAATTTAATGATAATAAATGATATAAAGTATAATTAATGATAATTAATGATATAAATTATAAATTAATAACCAAATAAAAATTTGAAATGATAGTTAATGCTAAAATTGCAAAAACTAAACCAAAAAGAAAAAAAAAATCTTAGCAACTTATTTTCTTTAATAAACCAATTGCTAATGCTATTTCTCCTTTTTTGTTTTGCTTTCCAAAACGATTTTAGATACAGCTTTTATTACATATATTTATTACACATTCATATATTTATATATAAATGTGTAAAAAAGTAACAAAATCATAAACGTTGATATTTACATATTTAATGGCTATACAAGATTATAAACGAGACGCCCAGCGGGTCAGATTGAGTATTTTAAACGTTACTTCTCTATTTATTTTTGATGTCCTGAATTCGAGACTATAAGCTAAAATGGCCACTAGGTATCTTTCAAAACATGACTATAATCCGGTAAAGATTATACTTCTGATAGAAAATTACTGTTAAAAATATCTTTAAGTAAACCGGAAAAAACAACTACGAAAGAACAACTACGAAAGAACAACTACGAAAGAACAACTACGAAAGAACAACTACGAAAGAACAACTACGAAAGAACAACTACGAAAGAACAACTACGTTTTGATAGTTTAAATGTTATTTTAGAAAGTCTTTATAAAACTTTTCCCCAGAATCTTTGTTTCTATTAAGCGTCTGCGTATTCTCTCAGAAGTTCGGTTTAAAACGGTATAAAACGATAATTTTGTATAATTAATAATAACGATAATGTTAATTTACCAAAAAATCATGACTTCCGTATTTTATACTTGTTCTTTTTTTTTAATAAAAGGGTTTCTTTCGTGAATAAATTAGAGCTTATTAAAGTAATATGAAAACACTGTGTAGGAAAAATAAATCAAAAAACATTTTGATAACTATATAAACAAGAATAATTAAAAAAATTTAAATAAATAAAAAAAAAAAAAAAAAAAAAAAATAAGTAAAAACAAAGTTAAAAGAAAAATGTCTTCGAAAATGGAAAATAATAAAAAAGAACTAAAATTTTTCTACCACCAATTTTTTATGGAAAGAAAAGGAAAATAACAATTTTAATTAATTTTGTAGATTGTTTATATTTGAATTTATCTATGGGGTTGTCCATTAATTACGTCAACAAAATAGGGGGGAGGGGTCTGAACTTTTTTGACAATTGTTGACAAGAGGGAGGGGGAGGTCAATTAAAGTTGATGTCGACAATCTTTTTATTTTTTTGAGTTTCATTGCTTAAATAACGGAAAATTTGTGGCGTAGCTTCTTTGTGTAGGGGGAGGGGGTAATCAAAAATTGACGTAATTTTATAGGGGGTCTCTGGAAATTTGACAAATTGTTGACAAGGGGGAGGGGGAGGTAAAAATTTCAAAAAAATTGTTGATGTAATTAATGGATAGCTCCTATATATAAAATGTTGAAATTATTTTTTTTTTTTTTTTTTTTTTTTTTTTTTTTACATTTTTCTCTGTCAATTTAGTTGTTGTTGCTTTTTCTATATCTTGATATTTACTTTTGTCTAACTCATCTAGGTAATGCATAATATAGGCTTTAACATTAATATTATAATAATATTATATTACAATATATTGTATGTAGTAGTGTATGTAGAGTAGATTTGGGTAATATGAGCACCTTAAGCAAAATTTTGAATTATTTTAAAAATAATTGAGTTAGATCCAAAATTTTTGCAAATAAACAACTTTTAGGGATTATTACTCATGATCCACTTAGATATTTGGGCACCCGAATATATTACCCAGACCACTGCGTAATATGAGCACTTTTAGTTAGCTTAAAAAATAACATTAATTAGGTAAAAAAATACCAACCTGACAATTAGAACTAATTTTTGGAATATAATGATTCGTTATTAACAAAACTTATCATAAAAAGATCAAATTTTAAGCCACTTTTTGTTAAAACACTGCTATGTTTTCTGCCAAAAAAAAATTAGTTCGTTATTTTTTCAATTTTATTAACTCAAACTTTTAATCAATAAAAATTCAAATTTTTTGAATTTAAGTAACAAAAAAATAATTAGTATTGTAAAAATATTACATTTTTTTACTATGTTTTGTTTTTATTTAAAAAGCAATTAAAACCACTGCTATTTTAGGACTTTAAACTAGGTAATTTCAATGAAAAACACTGGGTAATTTAAGCATGCTGAAATTACAAAAAAATGGCATCTTTAAATAAAGTCAAAACTAAATGTTTCTATGTATTGTTTTTTAAACAAAAATGGATTGGATTTTTAGCTAACATATTTTTCTATATGAAAAAATTAATTTCATTATTTTAGCACCAAATTTCGCGTGATTTTATTCATGCATGATGATATTATTTTAACAAAGCTTAAAATTTGACAGCGTTTTAATTAGATGATAGTTGCTAATTACTGCATATAAATTTACGCTAATTGTACTGATTCCTGTTATCACTGCATAGTTATGTAGTGATAACAGAAAACTTTATGCATAAAGTCGATTCGAAAAATACAAAGCAACTTTAACTTCACTGTTTACACATAAGAAATCTTTAAGTATGCTCATATTACCAAGATGCTCGTATTACCCTAATCTACCCTTTTTTTTTATTTATTTAAGTTATATTTTGTTTTTTTTTATATTTTTCTGCGAAAATTTTTTGTCATTCATCTTATCTCATCCGTTCATTCTCTCTTTTTTTCTTCATTTTCTAAACCTTACTCCTTTATATTTTTGTTCTGATTCCAACTTTTTTAATATTAATGTTCTTATTACTTCTTTTTTTATTCTTTTTTGTATTTTAAATGTCTTTCTAAACGTTCTTTTTTTATTCTTTTTTGTATTTTAAATGTCTTTCTAAACGTTCTTCCGTAGAGAACGTTTAAAAGACGTTTAAAAAAAGTTTAAAAAACATTTAGAACGTAACTTTTAAAACAAATGCCCGTAGGGTAGTTTACTTTATTATATCCGTGTTTTGATATTTTTTTATTTTATTAAGCTGTCACTCCATTGACTAATTTTTAACTATATGAGTGACACCGAACCTAAATTTATAAATTATAATTAAGTTTGTAATTTTTGATTTTAAGGTTAAATAAATGGATAAAAAAAAATTACATCTTGGCCTCCCAGCACTTTAGGCCTTCTGGCCCTTGTTGGTCTCCTAGTATTCAAAGTAAATAGCGATTTAAAATAAAAAAATCTTTGTAATGGTTGCACTATAACGCAATATATATATATATATATATATATATATATATATATATATATATATATATATATATATATATATATATATATATATATATATATGCATATACATATTTAACAGTGAAATTAACAGAAATTAACAGTGTGAAAACTAAAGTGTTTTCCAGGCAATCTTAAATGATTGCAGACGTTAATGAGATTACGGACAAACTAAAGAGTAATCTTGATAAATGTATATATATATATATATATATATATATATATATATATATATATATATATATGTATATATACATATATATATATATATATATATATATATATATATATATATATATATATATATATATATATATATATATATATATATATATATATATATATATATATATACCTTTATCTAGATTACTCTTTAGTTTGTCCGAAATCTCATTAACGTCTGCAATCATTTAAGATTGCCTGGAAAACACTTTAGTTTTCACACTATTAATTTCATCATTGTAATGCCTCTTGCGTGCTCTTGGGAGTCTTTGAACATAGACATATTCATCCGTGTTGACCAATGACACGACTTCCTTTTCATATTGCTTGAAATTGGAGCGAACTTGCTGCACGTAATTCTCCAGGGAGTGTTAGAGTTTTTCAACCATACCTATATCCAGTTTTACAAACTGCAATTTCTTGTTAAATTCGTTTAACTTTTCCACATTCCGTTCCAAATAATTATTAAAATAGCTGTCTCAAGTTGTTCCATTTTGGTCTAAGGTCCAAAGGCTTCTCCTTTTGGCTTTGCTTTCTGATCATCGTTAAGATCAAGAAGAGTCTATATAGAAAATATTTGTTTAAAAGTATGCACAACCACAAATAATATATATTTTTATTTGATTTTCTGAATAAGTCTTAATCACCGTGTAAATAAAATAACCTTTTTTAATGGTTAAACAAGCATCACTACGAGCTGACCAACGAGTCTTGGAAACCTTAATACGTATTCCAGCAAGCAACTTTGACTTTAAAATGCGTTAATGTGTTGATGCAAGGAACTTTGAATTTAAGACATTGATGCGTTGATGCAGAAAAGAAGTTATAAATTTCTTGAAGAAAGCTAAAGAAATTAACAGCAGCTCCGTTGGATTCCGCGGCACTACGAGGTTCAAATAGTGAGCAGGACATGGAATGTATTCGGCGAAAACATTGATCTCTTTAATTCTAGCTTGTAAACCAAAGTAAATTCCAGACATATTACTAACATTGTCTTAAGACTGGCCACAGCAATTTTGAATGTTGATTGCATATTAATCTAACTTTTTCAAAACGATTTCAAGCATGAAAACTGCAAAATGATTATGCATGGGAATGAATGCTAAGAACAGCTTAACTAGTTTCCGTTTTGTACACATCAGGAGTAGAATCAACAATGGTTAAGAAATATTTCGCAAATTGATTTCGCTTACTAAGAAATTATTTTTGAAGAAAATTAGAAAATACTGTAACATGTTAAGTATAATATAACTTAAGGATGATCATATAACCTATAAATTTCATAACCTCGGCGACTATTAAGTGTATGAGTTTTTCGCAAATGTCTTTAGATAAGTACGAGATACAACCCTTTCCTTTGTTTCCATGAGTTATCAAGTGTTGGGCAAGGAAAGGATCAAATTTTACTAATAGCTCAATACATCCAATAAAGTTTCCGTGGCGTACCGAACCTAGTTTTTTGTCTGATCCGCGGAATGATAATCCTCTGAGAATGAACAATAAATAAAATATCCAATTATTTTAAATTTATTTTTTCACCATTATTTTCTTAGTTTTTTTTTTCACCATTATGTTTGAACTCGAAAGTTCTATCAAGTCTTTAAAAAAAAAAAAAAGTCCAGTTTGCGATACGTCGAAAGCGCTGTTATTGCAAAAATTAAAAATCTTGAGACATGAGAGGAAGTGAAGGATAGATGCTGATAATAATTATTCTTTCAAATTATATCTCTCTCAAAAACTCACTTGGATTTTCTGGCCCCTTGAACTCCGTAGCCTCCCGGCACGTGTCCAGTGTGTCTGTTGGTTAAACCCTTCGACCATATAACTGTTTATATGGTCGAAGGTTAAACCGGCGATGATAATATGATAATGGTATTATCATTATTTTTGATACTATTAGAACAATAATGCTGATGACTAATTCAAGGTTGTTTTTTTTATTACATAAGCTAGATTTGCACACTTAATTGATTATAAATGCTTTTTATTTACAAAATATTCTTTGAATTAAATTAAATACAACCGTTTGTAATCATTTGGAAATGCATGCAAGTAAATATAAGAAAAATGATAGAGATGAATAAAAAAGTGCTTCATCAGTTTAACAATATATTAAATATATAACACTTTTCTATCTAAAGATATTTTTAATGAAAAAGAAAAAGCTTATCCGAAATTTACATTACTTTATGAGGTCTTTTAAATCTATAAAAAAAATAAAATATACTATAATATATAAATATACTATAATATATAATATACTTATAAATATATAAGTTATAAAATTGTTTACTTTTTTAACCATTAGTTTTTACTCACTTGTAAATTTACTAAAATGCGCTTCGTATATACTCTTATCTTAAATAACTTTTTATCTAAAATGTAATTGTAAATTACGCTAATTGTTAACGTAACAACTTTTTAAAATTTTTTGTTAATAATAGAAAGACAAGTCATGTTATTTTCGGTTTCCCATTAAAAACATCTGCCACACATCTTTGGGTCGTACTTACGACCCAAAGATGTTGGACAGATGTTAGGTCGTACTTACGACTGTAGCATACAAATACTAGTAGAAAAGCAGAATTGTATAACTATTGTATTATTTTTTGCATGTTTTTTTTTCCTTAGTTCTCAAAGTGTTTTACCAAGTTTCCAAAACCCTTTTTCTAATTTTAGACAGCTATGTACTTGCCCGCATAAATAATATAGTTTATGTAATGTAGTATATAGTTTAAATATAAAAACATAAAAAAAAAAAAAAACATTACAAAACAAAATATTAAATTATCCTAATTGTTCTACTTGTTTTTATTCAATATATTTCTTCAGTTATATGTATTTATGATTAGGTAAGTATTTATATGGATAAGCCACAACAGATTTTTATAAGTGAAAACTTGTGTAAGTTTTGTCGATGCTAGTTTTTAATTAGTCTATTAAGTGATGATAAATTTTAAACCAGTCCTTGTTTCAAATCCTAAACTTTCTTTAGTCCTTATACCGTTTTTTATAGCCTTTATCATTTGAAGTTGTTTTTAAAATAAAATTTTAAAAACAACTTCAAATGATAAAGTTTTTATACAACAGACATTTCTAATTAACTTTAATTAATGCGCAATAATCATTTAAGCTGCCAAACGTTAGAGTTCTAAAAAAAGATTTTTTTCTAGTATCACAAGGCATTATGGGATTGATATTTGCAGAAACAATAATAGAATTTTTTAAAAACGTAAGTGATTCTCGGATTGATATTGAGACAAACATTTTTTGACGTCTTTCTTTTAAAAGAATCTTTAAGACGTTAAAAGGACGTCATTAGGATGCCTTATAAAAACACGTCATAATTTGGTTTGAGACGTTGTGATCTGAGGAAAAGGGGAAGATAATGTCCTTTTAACCATATTTCCGACATTTTGTACTCTGAAAATGAAAATACTTCACAAAATACAATTACAAAATATTACTAAAACTCTGATAACAAATACACTACAATATTTTTTTTCAGTAAAAGCAAATCTTTAAAAATAAAATAATAAAATTGATATTTAATTTTAAAGCCAAAACAGTGAGTACCGGTTTTTACTGTGTTGTTTTTATTTATCAGTTTAAATTAATATTTTCATTATTAATTTATCCAAATAAAGAAGTTTTGTTGTTTTCAAGCGAGAAAGTTTTTTTTTTTATAAATGAAGTCATGACCTGTAATCAAATAATCAAATCAAATCAAATGTATTCTGAAATAGATTTTTACATTATTTACATATAGTATTTTTATCATTTCATGGACTATTTACGTATAGTACAAGTACTAATTTTAAGTAAACACCATAATAAGAAACTAAAAAAAAAAACAAAAAAACAAAAAACAAACAAATGTAAAACAGTACAATACTTAAACAAAGAACTTTATGGAATAATTATTAAAAAGTTTGATAAAGTTAGGACAAGATTCAATTTATTTTTATACATCTATCTAGGATATGACTTTTATATACCTAGTTAAAGTATAGCAAGAAAGGAGAAGTAGATTATTATAATATACAGTTACAACATTATAAATAATATAGTAATATAAATATCAGTAATAATAATAGGCAATAATAATAAAAACTCCAGTTATTGGTAATAATAATCAAAATAATAATAATAACTTACGATAAAAATAACAATTCTATTAATAAAAATAACAATAATAGTAATATCAACAATAAAATTAGTAATACTTATAATAGTGAGAGTTGGAAATAGAATAGTGATATAAAAATAATATTAATTTGAGAAAAAGTTATGAAAGAGCAAGTATGAGTAGAAATAAATCAGCATTGAAATGAAGAAAGTAGTAGAAAAGAATTTAAAATAGATCAAGAATTAGTATCTATAAACATTGAAGCAAATAAAGTTAAAATGGATAGTAGATAGCAGTAGTATCAAAATTAAGGTATATACACGATAGTTTTTGCAGTGTAGTCCATTGTAGCATTTTATTAAAGTTAAAAAAAACACGATATTCGGATTTTAGCTCGAATAAACTTTTGTTTAAATCATTCAAAATAAAGTGATAAGTTCTATTTTTCTTATTTCATCTAGGTTTGATAATAGTGCAGCAGTATGCGTATTGGTAGAGGTGCAAATTACGCCTCTTTTCTTATCATATCATCATATAAAATAATAGTTACTTCAATTAGATTGCTACTCGAGTGAGTTCACTTGAATTCAATTTAGTGAAAAGGGTACGGGCCTTATTCATACTGCTGCACTATCATACATACTTACATGCTTCATCACAATGTATTCATGTCGTCTTAATACTTTAAAAAAAGGTATAAAGACATTGAACACAGCTGCATAATAAGTTTTTTTTTTTTTTTTGTAAAGGTTCAATCCGATTAATAGGAGCAATATCTGATTCACACTGTCGTAGAATGTACGGTAATAGAAGTTGACCGTAAAATATTTCTGAAAAATATCCGTAGCAATTAGTTTTTAAATACGCATGACATAAACATTCTTAAGCGGGAATTTCATAAACAACAAATCGTTTTAAGTGGTTTAGAAAAATTAAAATATCAACTTTATTTTAATAAACTTACAAACATTATAAATTATAAACTTTATATTTTACATTTCTAAAGCACTATTTTTTTTACTGTTTTATAAATTTTATATTTCAGGATTTGTTATTGGTTACGTGGAATAAGTATGCTTATGTATACATTTTTAATTTTTTTTAAGTTGTAAATTGATGGTAGACGTGATATTAGAAGTAGTCAGTCATGAACAATTTTTAGGTCTTGAATAATATATACAAGCAATTAGATTGCATCCATGGAAATAAATTATGAAAAAAAGAAAGTTCTGATAGAATGGGTAACTTTTGCTACCATTTATTTTTAAATTTGATATATATATATATATATATATATATGTATATGTATATGTATATGTATATGTATATGTATATATATATATATATATATATATATATATATATATATATAATTTTTAAAAATAACACAATGTTTTTTATTCTTGACATGTTTCGTAAAATTTTTTTTACATTTTCAAAAGATTATTTTACAATAATAAAACTCTGAAATAAATATTAAAAAATAGAAGTCTTTACAGAGAAATAATAATGGACAAAAATTTACATAATGAACCAATATATTTGTTAGAAAATAACTTGGTAAATAACCAATCAAATTAATTCTAATCCTTCTTTCATTGTATAATGTACTGTTTCTCTGCTGATCTGCTGACAAATCAACTTTATACTCTTGCCTTGACAAAAAATTTTCTTTTTTTGATTGCTTAGAACAAGCAGCCTATATTTAATCTAATCTCTCTTCTGTAACAGCCTAAGGCTTGCAGTGGCTTATGGATTTAAATTCTGGATCTAAAATCCACAATTTTTGTTTGCACACACAAGTTTTGTATGCAAAAAAGTGACTTTTTAAATTGACAGATTTATGCAAACAGTTGAAAAAAATTTGAATTTTTGAAAATGAAATTTTTTGACAGTTAATTTTTTGACAGTTAATTTTGATTGGTTATTTACCAAGTTATTTTTTAATAAATATATTGGTTCATTATGTAAATTTTTGTCCGTTATTATTTCTCTGTAAAGACTTCTATTTTTTAATATTTATTTCAGAGTTTTATTATTGTAAAATAATCTTTTGAAAATGTAAATAAAATTTTACGAAACATGTCAAGAATAAAAAACATTGTGTTATTTTTAAAAATGATATATATATATATATATATATATATATATATATATATATATATATATATATATATATATATATATATATATATATATATATATATATATATATATATATATATATATAAATTTCAAACTGTTTGAATACTATACTTTTATATGTAATTGGAAAGAAGATCAATACAGTATTTTAATGGTGAAAAAATTATCAAAATCAACACATTTGTTTAAAAGTTATGATGGTTTAAGTACTGATTTTTCGATATATAGATTTGTTGAAGAAACTGTGGTCAAAATTATCAGACTTGGTCGGGAAGCGGGTGCGATCGCACTCGATAACTGACCACGGAAATAATATTTAGTTGCGAAAAACGGCCAGATTTTTTAGTCGTTTTGAGAACATTCAACTTCACAAATGTTTCCTTGTTTGTCCGCAAAATAATTATTAAGTTATCGTAAATCTTAGAATATTTTGTTGTTACGGACTTACACGGAAACATACATAAACTCAAATGTTCTCAAATATTTAGTTGCGAAAAACCGGCCAGATTTTTTAGTCGTTTTGAGAACATTCAACTTCACAAATGTTTCCTTGTTTGTCCGCAAAATAATTATTAAGTTATCGTAAATCTTAGAATATTTTGTTGTTACGGACTTACACGGAAACATACATAAACTCAAATGTTCTCAAACTTTGTGCGGAAAAATAAAAAAAAGAATATTCGCAAACACAAAAAACTCGACAAATCTACTAACAACTAATCCTATTGTTTCAAAAAATGCTAGCGGAAATTTCTAGAGTATTCAAAAAATACTAACCAAATGTTCTAGAGTATTCTGTTAAATTATTATAAAAAGTTGTATTATTTGAGTTTTGTTATGTTTTCGTCGAGATTTCTAGCATAAATTGTTTTAACAATATACTATCAAACGAACTTTTATTTTAATACTATGTCATTCTCGAAGCCACATCTACAAAGCAATAAATGTTTTAAACTAACATTAATTGTTTACAAAAATAAATGTTTTAAATTTGTTTTTAAGTTCTTAGAAAGAAAAGTTTTTAAGTTCTTAGAAATTGGTTAACTAACTTCAATTATTTTTGCTTCGGCCATTCTTACAAACTCGTTATACTTAACTCTTTTCTGTTTTAAATACTAATTAAAATTATAAAGCCCACTCACTAAACATTATCAGTGCTAATGTGAAGTAGATTATTGTTAAATTACTTAGTGAGGAGGAAGCTGTTCCGCTTCCTCCTCACTAAGTAATTTAACATTTTTAGTTAATTTCTATCTAGTTAATTGAATTTCTACAGTAACTCAATGATTTAATTATTTCATTTGTTCATCTTACTACGCGAAGCATAAAACAGTTATTAAAAAAACCTTTTTATTTATAAATAAATCATCTAGCGTTAGTTTTACTGGTTGAATCTTGTTGGACTTTTCAGGGCCGCGGGCTGCATTATTTTAGTGGCATTTATTATGTGCCACAGTGTAAAAATGACTAAAAAAAAAATACCGAATGGTCCTTTTGACTATTTCGCTGCCTCTAACATTGTGAGTCATGGGGCTATAGCCTATTCACCCCATCCCCCTCTTTCCCACCTCGTTAATAAATTAAAGAACATTTGTTTCCTTATTAAACAATCATTAATTATAAATGATTGATTATTAATTATTAATCATGAATTATTAATGACAAGCGGAAAAAGAAAACAATTTTCATTGGTCAGCAAAGCGAATGCTTTAAAAAGGAAAAGTGAGGAGAAAATGAAAGATCTAGCTAAGTTGCAGGAAACATTATTAATATTAGAAGAGAGGAGAAAGAAACTGAATTAACAATTGTTGCTTTTTGACAATTTGTTTATATAAAATATTATTTGTTGACATTTATGCAAATATGGCTAGTTAAAAAACTTTAATTATATTTTCAATATAAGATTTTGCCCAAAAAATATATTTAATTTAAAATTAATTAAAAGTTTTTTTTTTTAATGTTTCTAAGCATGTTTTGTTATACTGTGCTATTTTTGTCTAAAGGTATTGATGAATTAGCAAAGGTACAGCTACAAATAGTGATAACAAACAACTAACCCAAAGTAGTCTCTGTTATAGACCAAATATTGCTCAAGATATTGAAAGATATCTACATAGACATTTTAGTTTATTTTTGTGCTAGTGAAAAATAATAATTATAATTAACTAATAGCTAAGTTTTATAAGTTTTGTCATTCTAAGCATGTACGTTTTAGCATTTTCATTATAGTAGTAATTTTTAACATTTAATAAAAACCATTGCAAATGTTAAAAATGGTCAGAGAAATTTATCTGATTTTTCAAAAAAGTCAGGGAAAAGTCAGGGAAATTTTTATAAATATGTGGCTACGAACCCTGTAATAGTAAGTTGTTACTTTATATAAAAAATGTCGTCTAATTTTATAAAAAAAATATAAAAGAACAACGTTTCAAAAATATTTGCTCTAATCGTTTTTTTTTTGCTTAAAGTTTTTTTGCGTTAAAAGCTGTTTTCTTTTTTTAACTGTCTCTTAATGGTCCAGTTAATCTTGTTGCGCTTTTTTGTTTGTTTTTGAAATGTTCTCAAAACGACTAAAAAATCTGGCCGTTTTTACGCAACTAAATATTATTTCCGTGGTCAATTATCAAGTGCGATCGCATCCGCTTACCGACCAAGCCTGAATTATGTTTTTTTCCAATTAAATTGTCATAACTTTATCAATTCTTATCAAAATACAAATATCTTGGTATCAAAAAAAAGGTGTAAGAGTGGGCTACAAATTTATGCTAAACTCTAACCACCAGGCATATAGGGTGGACAGAGGGGCCACCAAACCACCACCTTACCCATATGAAACTTAACACTTTTTTTAATAAAAATGTGTTTTTGAAGAGAAAATAAAAGTTTTTAAATACAAAAAGTGGCTATAATTTTATACCAGACCATTACCCTATAGGAGAAGTGTAATTTAGGGTTGTTGGTAAAATGCGAATTGCGAACCGGTAAAATGCGAACTTAATTGCGAACCAAAACATATTTTAAAGACCATTATTATGATAAAAATAATAATAAAAAAACTCTTTTCTTAATTCTCAAAACTCTTTTCTCAATTCTTAAAACTCAATTCTTAATTATCTATTTTAAAACCTTATTTAATTAAAAAATTTATTTTTTAACTGTAAAACATGCGCGAAGTGTTGCTACATCGACTATCTTATTGCCTGATTCGCAACGGAGTGTTGCTACATCACTCCTTACATTGGAGTGCTGCCACTTCGACTATCTTATAGCCTGACTCGCAATAGAGTGCTGCTAAATCAACTGAGGGTTTGGTTTGGGTAGGCAGTCTATCAAATAATTAAAAAACAAAATTTATATATTTTATTTGTCTAGTTTCACTTAATTTCCTTTTATTTTTTTAAAATATATTTTTTGCTTAAAAGTCCTTAAAATATGCCGCTAAATGAGCTATTTAACGGAAATAAAACATTACATCATTAACAACCAATAGGACGATGGTTTTTACCTAGTACCGTATTTTAGAGTTAGAGGTGGATATGGTGGTGATGACTTAACACACCCTAGTACAAAAAGTTGTTTTTTTTTACAAATTTTTATCATTACTAACATAAGTAAAATTAGTATACAATAAAAAATTAGTCATACAAGTTTTTACATATATAAAAGGTTTTCACATTGATTTATGGGAGGGGCGTGTTCTGCACTCCCTCCTCCCCCCATTTACCCTAATATAATTTTTTTTCTCTTAGTTTTGGCTAATAAAGTTATAATTTCTGTATGATAAATTATCAAAACAAAACATCATTTTCATCCATTTTTTGGCGCTCAGATGTTTGTCTTTGGCAAATCTCAGCTTAAATTTTAGCATGATGCAGGCTATTTCTAATGTGATGATGTTATATCACACTCTGAAAATCAAAAACTGTGCTAATTATATAATTATCAGTTTTGTATTTAAAAGTATAAAAGACAAACAATAAAAAATTATAAGAACATATTTTACTTGACTGTATTAGTGTATGCTTGGTCATAATGGAGGGGTTTTCGACCCTACCCCCAACCTTAAAAAGTGCAAATAACTAAAAAAAATCTGTTA